CTCTAGATGCTTCATGAAGGCCTAGTCTGATCTACTATGAATTCGAACTATTGGCAATTAGATACATGCTGGTCTTGCTGGGTGTCTTCCTCTTATAACCTTTAATGCTTTAGTTAGAGATCCAGTTAATAGTAAATAGTTACATGGATTTCTAGACCAAAAACATTAATTAGCATTTATGTGGACTTTTATCAAGTGTTAAATATTCTTAGAAGTTGAAGGTGGAACTTTACTCTATCCAAGTCTAATGTGCTCCTTGCGTGACTAAAAAATTGGCCACTTAACGCGATCATATTTTGGACCTTACAGGACCTTTGTTCAAGTATGTAATTTCCTGTATCTTTGCCAAGATCAAACATTTCATAAGTGTATCTTGGTAACTTCCATGCATTTTCTGTGTCGAGCCACACATGTATATACTTCTTTTCTCTCGTCAGAAACCTGCTTTATGGAGTTGCTCTCAGTTTTTCATTTTTGGAGGTGCTATTTTCTACACGATCAGTATTTTTTTCTATCATTTTCCTTCCAGTTTCAGCATGGGGAAGTTGAAACCAAACATGAGAAACATAAAATAAGACATGATAATGAAAATGTCCTGCTGCTCCTTCTGATGGACAATGCTACATCTATATAAAGGTGTACACACTCTCACATGGGGTGGGACCAGTTCACTTTTTTTGTTTTTTGTTTTTGTTCCGGAGGGCCATACCTCATGTGAGAACGTCTACCCCATTACGTACAAGAGAGTAATGTGCGTCAAGCATTTTCCTCCTTCAGACACTGTTTTTGTATCCTGTGAAATATGAAGAAAGCTGTGTAATATGAGAATTTCTTCGAGTTGATGCATGTTCTATGCTTTCATATAGCTTTTGTACATATTCCCTTATCTTGGAAATAACGAGTAATGTGAGTGTTGCGGTCTGCAAATTATGTACATGATGTTTCCCTTCTAATGATGCACTAAGAGCATCCACAATGCATTGGGTTCAATTTTATATATGTGGCATATAAATGGACTTAAGTCCTTAATGACATGGACAAACACAAGTAAAAAAATCCAAAAGTCATCCAGTGCAAAAAGAAAATATTAGGTCTAGAATATTTGTCAACCAATAAAAATGCTCTAAAATATTTTCTATATTAAGAGAAAAATTAAATTAGGAATAAATGCTAATTGCTTAGGTTTGTACTTGGGTCCAAAATAGACCCAAGTCTAGACTTGGTCTCATTTTTTGATTGCAACATAAGTTAGACCTAGTCTACTTTTAATTGCATCGGAAAATATTTTTTAATAGACTGTCTCTTTCATACATGGCATATGATATTTTTGTAAGAGACCCAAAGCATTGTGGGTGCTCTAATGTTTGCAGTCAGTTATGATGGGTTTCTTAAGCGACTATTCACCTCAAATTATTATAATTATCATTATGCTGCATTGTTTGTTTAGGTCGTCACTTGTGGCAGCATACCACTTGAAACCTCTTTCCAGAGAATACCGAGATGTGTGTATGTTTCCTCAGAATTATTTGAATATAGGGGATGTGGTGGAAAACCATCAAATGCTAAACAAAGGTTCTTCTCTTGGGGATGCAGATATTCAGAGGTCAGTCAGTCTGTTTTGCTTGTATTTTATAACCATTTCATTAATAGTCACATGTGCAGCTTCATGTGACTGTAAATCTTTAGTTGCATTTTGGAAGAAGGGGAAAAAAGAATTAGAAGAAAAAAGAAGCAAAAAGTAACCTGCAACTCAATACTGTTTAACATTTATTTATTCAATTTACGGCTATATTTGAATCTTGTATCTTACTATTGATTTTCTTTTAGTGGTTTTGTTGGGATGGTATACTGTTAGTGCTGCAAATGTATTTTGCATCTTCATTCAGTCATTAATGTTTCCATTGCAGATTTTTTTAACATTTTGTTGGACATCCGTAAGGCATTTCCACGGTTTTATGTATTTTGAGACTGCTTGATCCAAATACAATTATGTTTCTTGAAAATCTTGTTTTGAGACTGCTTGATCCAAATACAATTATGTTTCTTGAAGATCTCCAACGTCGGGAACACCATTAATACCTCATCTGCATTTTCATAATAATTAGGTTTTTCCATTGATGAAACTAAAACTAATCATGGCCATACATGTTTGAAGAACTCCAAACCTTTGCTGATAGTTACACAACACAGTAGTAAAAACTCAAAGGGTGGTATGGTTTAGTGCTAGTGGAATTTGAGTTTATATTAAAATAATCTTTAAAAGAAAATAATTTAAGTTGATTTGATGCAAAAGTAGGAGAGGGATGATGTGAAGTGATGGTTAGTTAAAATTATGCGAGTTAATGAATAGTGAATTAAAGTTGACGTGACTTACAAAAATAAATTGCCTGATATTATTTAATTATATTAATAATTTTGAAGATAGTGGGGTTGAGTTAAAAAAAAAAAATTATTGAGTTAAAAATGATTGGTTTTTTTTGGATCAAATCCATATCCGATCACACTCTTAGTTCCCTTGCAGCCGGTAGGCAGTAGCACTCTAGTTTAATGGCTTCATCCAGTTTGTTCTCATTACATCCTTATTCGACAAGTCTTCAACTTATTATGCTATCAGATTGTAAAACGCAAGTGCCTTTGGGATATAGTCCTTTCAAATCTAATTTTTTTATTTATTTATTTAATTTTTTTTTTCTGGGCAACAAAAGTGTGTGTGTGTTTGTCAAAATGAAACTACTTGAAGTCATTAGCTGCTTTCTTTTAGTAGTTCATTCTCTCTCGTCCCTTGTAATCTACAGAAGTATGCTGCGGATTTTTACATATCAGACTTTCAGTCTGGTTTGAGAGCTCTAGTGAAGGCAGGCTATGGTTCCAAGGTTGCCCCTTTTGTTGAGTCCACTGTTGTTGTTGATGTCTCTAAGGATCACAAAGACCCATCTCCAAACTTTCTACGCTGGCTTTCAGACCGAGGCTTATCGGGTGATGACCATGTGATGCGGCTTAAAGAAGGGTAAGCGTACTTTTGACATTCTATTATCTGCTCAACCGGTGATTATTCTTAGGTGGACATATTTTTCACTTTCTGGTATATTAAACAAGATACTTCTGGTGCATATAAGTCAAACTTGAAAAACATCCTGTATCTTTCAATTTGCAACTCGGGCACCATATCTTTCTGGAATTCCATTTTTCTTTATCAAGACTCGAGCTCTGCCGAAAATCATGATATTTTGTTGTATTATTTCTTTTTGCAGTTATATAAAAGAAGGAAGTACGGTGAGTGTGATGGGTGTGGTTAGGCGCCATGAAAATGTTCTCATGATCGTGCCATCCACTGAGCCCGTCTCGACTGGATGCCGTTGGCCTTGTTGCCTTCTCCCCACATATGTCGAGGGCCTTATTTTGACGTGCAACGAAAGTCAAAATGAACAGGTTATTCCCGTGTAGATTGGATGTGACCCTTTTTTGTGTGTTTGGTTTGCAAGATGGATAGATAGTGGGAATGTACTCTACAAGCAAAGAGAAAACCGGCACACGTCCAATGTGTATTCTTTTACGAAGTGAAGAGCAAAGCAAAAGATGTTAAAAAGAAATATCCATGTGATTTGGTAAAATGCCACACTGACCAAATGGGTCAGTGTGGCATTTTAAATCCTTGTATCTCTGGGATTGTATAGAAATTATCAAGGCTGCTCTTCGAATCTGCATATATGTTGTATCTTGTCTTTCTTTGGCTCGATTGATATATCAAGTGTAAATTTTATATCGACCAACTTTTGTTTAATAATATTTCGGATGGTTGAGTCTGAAAATCCTGGTGGTAGGTAGGCGTCTTATTATGGTAGTTACAATCAGTTATCTTGACCCATATAAATATAGGAAAACGGGATTATTTTTTTTGGGGTTTATAATCGTTAGATTATCATGTAATCGTCGGGGATAGTTGATCTAACGGTTACAAACCATGACGGAATGATTCCGTAACGGGACCGTAGCGCTTCTCCATATAAACCGAAATTAAGTTTTACGAGTAATGAATATGAAGACTTATCACTCTTTCACTTGCATGATAATCAAGAATCTCTTGAAGTACATAAAGATGAATATGACAAAAGCATGTGACAAGTGATGAATACGTGGGTGTTGAAATCAAACCATCACATGCATATTCATCCTCATTTGTGATTGATATATGACATTTGCATAGTCATTCTTGAATGTTACTTGAAAATGTGATTGAACATGCAATTGTGTAAATAAGTAAAATGAAGGCTGATTATTATATTATTCAAATATGAGGAAACTCAAACTTTAACGAAGAAATAAACGAACGAGCTTGAATACGAATTTTTGTTCGAATAATAAACAAAGTTACACTAATTAAATCGAACACAAGCTTGAAATGTTCGAGTTTGGCTCGTACAGAGTGATTAAAACACTAGTTATAAGTGATCAATGTGAAGATAACTTTCGTAGCGACATTCATCACGAGTTCCATGTACTATGGATCTAAGTCCATGATACAACAATTGCAAATCAAAGGTTAAAAACTACGATAGCTATTTAAGAAAGCACTTGCTTTGAATACAAAAATGAACATCTTAAAATCCCTAGGGGTTGATATTTGTGTATTAAAACTATTGAAGATAACATAGACGACGTAAAGTGGCATTCGATTATTTCCCTTCATACTACAATGAGTTGTCCTGAAATTTTTCGTTAAAGATCACGACAGCAAAAAAATTTATCTTCACAATGATGGTGTAAAGCTACTTGAGTATGTCTATGGCTCTTGGTTTTACGGATAAACTAAACAGTTGCGAAGAATGCTCTTTCAAGACCATTTTCACTAACCTATGCTTTAACAGCCATCAACAGATAGTGTTTCTCCACATGTACGTAAAATCATATGCAAACCTACCAATGCAAAATCATACTCTCCTATGCATAAACTAGTGATGGTAACCCCTAGCCCCCTCCCCCGGCAAATAATACGGTGGCGGCTACATTAGTGCCGAGACATCAAAATCACCAACTAACCCTTGACTTAGAAGACGCATGGCTGCTGCTCGAGAGAATTTCCTTGCGAATAGAAAACAATGAACCAATGTGGAATTGTTACTGCACCATTCAATTCTGAACTCCGTTTGATAGTTTACATGGTTGATATCCTGCAAAACCATAAGTTATGTTATACCAAACAGCAAAAGAAATGGACAGTGATCAAATAAAAGGATATAATTACAAAACCACCCAAATGCATAGGAAAACTATAGTTATCCCTTTAAAATGTTCACACACCCGTGAGATTTGTACATGCTGATAGATAACCTCCACATTGAGACTGCAGAATGTAAAAAGGCCTTAATTGCTAAAAAATCGCAACTTTTTCGAAGATTGCATATTAACCAAACTTTTTCAAGTTTGCATCTAAACATTGACATTTTAAATTTGGGTTATTCGATATATCGGACTATGTGTGTTTGTGTGTAATTTGACGGATGGATGGTGTGTGTGCGTGCATGTAATTGCTGGACTGCATGATTGTCAAACAATATTGTGCCTGTAATTGTTGGTAGAGCCTAATGTCTAGAATCTCCAAAAACTTAAAAAGTCGCGTATTTAAATGCAAACTAAAAAAGGTTTAGTTAAATCTGCAATTTTGAAAATAATAGCGATTTTTTCCGGCAATTACCCATTCTAAAATAGAACAAACATTAAGGTGGTATTTGTGATTTCAAAAGATTAATAAGATCTTTGTGCAATTATGCTGAACCTCATGCCTGGTATTTGTTTACCAATCATGTAACAGTCGAGCAAGTGAAGTAAGTCTACCTTTATTCTTTTTATCTGTTCGGGCCCTGAATCTCCATAACTAAATGTAAAAGGATGCCAAGCCACATCATCTGTAGGTGTCGTCCTGGATTGGTTCCATAAAGTGTACGTTACTGTTCTTCTTTCAAGTTCAGCCTCAAGACCATTCATCTACGACAACCACCAAAAAACAAAAGAAGGGCACGAAGCAGAAGACTAATTGTTAGCAATTTCTGCATTACAAGAAATTGTAACAAAATTGCGTATAGGGGAAATCAAAGTGATATTTTCTTACTGCAAGTAAGGTCTGCACATAATGTTCATCGGGTATACAGTTATGCTGTTTCTGAAGTATCTGTATTCAATTTGTACGACACTATTAGCCGACATTACTCAAAATATAGAGATTGAAAGAGCAGCATTGATGAATTATGGAAGTACTACATAATTGGAATTTGGACTAATTAACTCAATAATTGGGTAACGGTATTCAAACTATCTGAGATGCTAGAAATGTTAACTCACATGACTCTTTATGCCTCCACTTGGATCAAGTGGTGGACGTCTCTGCAAAAACAGAACATCATAAGTTGCAGCCTAAAATAAGGCTCAAAGAACCATCAAAATAATATCTGCTCGAGGTAGATTTATATTTATTTATTGAAGATAGAAAATTTTGAGAAAATCTTCAGTACACAATCTAAATCAGACAAAGAAAGAGAGGACCTTCTGAAACATATTATGTACCTTGCAGAACTTTTCGAAGATTGGAAAAACAATTTCATCATCTACAACTATCTCTGCGTGTCTTCTGATTAAGGTGACCCACTGGAGTAGTAAAATGACGAAATTCATTACATTAAAACGTATTCAAAGGCAAAGTAGTTCATAACCACCCAAGACATAATCAACATATCAAACAGTACCTGTGACCCTTTCCGCCATTTGTTCCTGGGTATAACTGGTGACATCTTTGGATTGTAGCGGACATCTTTCTTATCTACAAAACTGGGAAAAAATATTCACAATCTTTAATTTCCACAAAATAATGCTTCAAAATGCCTATAGGTTAGACTAAAATAAGTTGCCAACATAAATGAAGAGCAATTTGACAGGTTCGGAACTTTTTATTTACCTGTCAACAAAACTTCTTGGAGAAGCCATCAGATACTTGTAAATATAGCTGAAGTTGTACAAAGGGACACAGCTGTAGAGATGAAACTTCTAGTGTCAGAAAACTATCAATGCTCAAAGGCGCAACTTAGAATGTAAACATAAAAATGAACTGAACTGTAGGTACCAAGACAGAAGATTTTGCATAAGGTATAACCACATGGATGTTGTCAATTATTGTTACTGATATCAGGAAAGAAATTCTGAAAATATGATTAGAGAAAAAAGCTCCACATCATCCGTATGATGGCAATTTTAATTTATCCACACTTCTATTTAGATTCTCCAGAGCAAGAAGTTGATAATAAACATGATACGAACCATTCGATTTATTTAACACTTTTTTCATGGCTCTAAGGAAGAAAACCTGTCAGATAAGAGAACAAATCTTTGATTTGCAGGATCCTGAAGGGCTTCTTTAAATAGTAACCTCTCAGCTGCTATCATGCTTGCTTCTCCCCAAGCGACCTAAACATCACCTCAAAATAAATAATTAATCAAACTTGAGATGATCAGACAACACATACAACATCAGCCCTAGATAATTTATCATCCAGCTTAAATTCTGAAAGTTATTAAGAATGCAATATTTGTCCACAACGACAAACATGAAACTGAGAGAAACTACACTTGCAAGCATTTCTCAAACTTCTCTCCAGCTGCATTTTATCTTTTCCCAAACTAATCCATTTCAGGAATATTTTCGAACTCCTCCCTTTACAACTTAAATCCACAAGTATCAATGTCAGTAACCAAACAATACCATACCTTAATGCTGTTTCTCAATTGCCGATTGAAAAATAAACCCGAACTTGTAGTAGATTCATCAAACACTATCCCAGGCTCAGCATGTATATATATTGAAAACCTCGACCTATCCACATTCTGCAACCATAAACAAATATCGCAGACACAAAACGAAATTAAACTCAATCATCTAATAGAACACTATAAACAACAGAATCTGTCTCAAGACAGTAGTATAGAACTGAAATTCCAAGAGTGTCAAATTCAGAAACTAGCGAAACATACTGCAAAACCGTGACACTCAAATTCATTTCCTCTTTTAATTTCTAGGCAATCAAAAA